TATATCAATATGAAAAACACAAAAGAAGATTTGAGTACTTCTCGAGAGCGAAAAATCCACCTTAGCACTCTTACACAATATATATATATATATAAAGTGGAATATAATAATGAATATACGTATGAGTTGTAATTTCATGTATATTCATCCCCACTTTCCAGAACTCTGTATGCAGGGTTTACACAACGAAACTAGAATAATATCAAAAATTATATGGACGAGTAGGAAGATTGTAAGCAAAAAAACGAATTTAATAGTAATATTAAGAGAAATGTGATTCATTAGAGAACAAGCAAGTAAAAAAGAAGCAGCCATACGACAAATTTTAAGCTGGAGTAAACTAAACCAACCCGAAGGGGGCTTTCAGGGTGGATTTTTATCTTCGCTTTAGTTGCCGTCAATTTTACCTCAGTTTCCCTCTTATGCATATTTTTTTGTCATTACCCCCCCCCCTCCATCATTTCCTTTTTTACTATTCCGTTTACTTACAAATCCTGCGCGCAATGGTCTTTAGATGCTTACACACAAAAGCTTGTTGAACAGAGAACTCCCTGAAATATTTATACCGATCCTTTGCCGAGAAATGCCCGCTCTCGAGGTCGATATTGAATACGATTTCCGTATCGTTCGTTTTGTTGGCGCGGAGCTTCGCGACCCACTTCGTCGGCTCCCAGTACGCCACGCGCGGATCGTTCAGGCCGGCCTGTACGAAAATGTGCGGATAGGGCTGGGCCCGCACGTTATCCATTGGGCTATAGCTGAGCATGTAGTCAAAAAAGCGGAAACTATTGGGGTTCCCCCACTCCTCCCACTCCCCCGTAGTGAGGGGGATGGTGGGGTCGGACATGGTCGTCAACACGTCCACAAAGGGCACCCCGGCGATGGCGACCGTGAAGAGGTCCGGCCGCATGTTGAGGACGGCCCCCATCAACAGCCCCCCCGCGCTCCGTCCTTCACACGCCAGCAGCGAGGGCGACGTAAACTTCTCCTTGATTAAATGCTCGGCGGTGGCGATGAAATCGGAAAAGGTATTCCGCTTCGTCAGGAATTTCGCCCCGATCTCGAACCAGCGCCGGCCGAGCTCACTCCCCCCGCGGATGTGCGCGATGGCGTAGATCATCCCGCGGTCGACGTAGGGCAAATAGTTAATCCCGAACTCCGGCTCGACCGAGATGCCGTAGGAGCCGTAGCCGTAGAGCATGCAAGGCTGCGGCTGCCTGCGGTCGAGGTCTTTGCGGTGGACGATGGAGATGGGGATGGCGGTGCCGTCCGGGGCCTTCGCGAGGATCCGCTCGACGGTGTAGTCCTCGGCGCGAAAGCCCCCCCCGACCTCCTGCGTCTTCACCACGACCTCAGCGTGTGTGAAAGCGTTGATGTCCTTTACCGTGGTGGGGGTGGAGAGGGAGGAGTAAGTGATGCGGAAGGTGTCGGTGTCAAAAAGGGTCATGTTGCTCGAAATGAGATCCACCGTCGCCGCGGCCTCGTTGGAGAACTTTTGCAGGACGAGTTCACTGCCGGGCACAAAGGCCATTTCGTC